ATATGTCAACTATATTTGAATGTATTGGTTATGACACTTTAGTATAAAACTTAACTCCTCACTATTGTGTGTGCAAGGACACTTAATCGTACGTTCACTGAGTTCGAAAATAAATAAGTTTCAGAAAAATGTGTTACTCATGTGGTTTGCATGCGCAATTTCCCTTGCGTTAATACGAGTTCATTTACATTTCCAAACATTTGCACCTGTCAAAATAACAAAACGCGAGAATTGACGCAAGAAGCTCGAATTAAAAACATGTTTTCAAATAATTTGTTTTCGATTTCAGTCGTAAGGAATTTCGTTTCGCTGTACGTGGCATAGTAACGACAAGATTACAACATCTAATTTTTGACTATAAATGATACACCGAATTCGTGGAAATTGAGCTATTGTTCAAGTGATTCGACTAGAAACATGTCCAAGCAATTGATGGGTGAGTCTCTTCTTAGCTCTTTTTTTCCTTCATTTTTTTTAATTTTCATTTTTGGCAATACTTAAGATTTCAGTCACTCATTGTGTTTTAATCAATATTTTCTCTCCGTTTAGTTTGTTTGATTCTGGTTGCGGTTTTGGGAGACCAATTCATGGTAACTTAAAATTTTTCATGTATTTTTTTGCATGGAGTCGATCGATGATATGAAGAATATTCTTTTCATTTTTCATACAAATTGACTTTTCGAAAACGATGGAAAAAAGAAATAAATGATAAGAAATCGTATTCTTTACTCGACATTTTAGTTTTTCAAATAGTTCTTTTCAGTTCTAAAAATCAATTGACCTTCTATTTCAATTCGTTCAATTTTGTTAATTCAAACTAATTTTCCTTTATGTGTTCACAATTTTCAACATGAAGCAAACTGAAGGTGATCGTGGGATCGTCTCCATAGTAAAGGGAGCATTAACACTAGGTAAGATTGAAGCTCCATTTCATTTTCAAGTTTCATTCTCACCATTCCACATACAAAGCACCGTTTGATGTGTGAAAATGTTTTTCAAATGATCTGGCAAAGAATCCAAGCCAAAATAACCAAAACTAAATTCGATTCCTGATAAACTCGTTGTATTTTAACACAATTTCACGATGCACTTCAATCGAAGCAATTAAAGTGCATGTCTCACATGATGATCGAAGTCTTGAGGATACTACATTCCATTTAACTTGTGACGCGTAATTGATTTCAAGTATCACGAAATCTTTGTGCCAGTAAAGATCGGAATAATGTGTACAGCATCGCCTTATACACACAACCGAGTCACACAGTATGTGACTCACACACACACACACACTTCTCAATGCAGCAGCAGACTTGTCGGCACACCAAGCGAGACTTTCGTGAGTTTTTTTTATATACGGATGCGCTCGAAGCGCCATCTCAATAACCCCAGGCAAAGCAAGTGTCAGCAGATGTTGAACCAACAATTTAATTGAAAATATTGACGCAACGAACAGATAATGGTTCTTCGTTATTTATTGATTTCAGAACAAAGTATCAAAGAAAACTGAAATAACATTGACATCTTAATCAACACTTCCAATTTCGAATTAAAACCAATTCCACAAATTCTCATGTTTGTTCTGCTGTCTTTCACTTATATCACCGTGTAACAAATTTCAACTTTTTCTTCTGCACATGAGAAATTCCGATTGCTTGTTTTAGAGGACCAAAAACCAAGCACTTTTGCATCATTAGTTTGTTCGAAACCACGTCTAGATTTTTTTTATCGACACATATAAGACAAATTTCAGGTCAAAATGAGCAAATCACAAACATGAGCTTCGATTTGACAGGTAAAGGCAAACGATTTCTACCTTTTCTGCCTTTGAACATCTAGTATGATCCTTTACAAACATTTTGGGTACTTATAGACAAAATGGAGTGATGTTTTCACATATTTCTGGCCGCATATTTGGTTGGTTCGATTTCAACTCTAAAAGAATCGACTTTTGCCAAAAAATCCTTAAATATAGGCTTTTCAGGGATAGTATCTTGGCGCAAAGTTATTTTTTCTCGAAAATATGGGGAGTCTACCCAGACAAAAACTCTCAAAATCGACTTTTCGAGGTACCTCCCGAACAAAGTTACGTTTTTCATGCATTTTGCTATAAAAATATCATTTTTTGTTCGGGAAGTACCCCAAAAATCATTTATAAGAGATTCTGTGTGAGAAGATTCCCAATATTTCTCGAAAAAATTAATTTTTTACTAAGAAACTCATCCAAATAGTGTATTTTTGGGTGCATTCAGCTGTGTTTGAAATGTCAAACTGTCGAGCGCTTCAAGCGATTTGTTCTGTACGTGATGTACCGAATATAGGTTTTCACGTTAAATATCGAGTGCACTGTATATATGATGCTTCGGCAACTCACGAATCGCCAAAGCAAGTGCAATGCTAAATCTACGAGTGTGCCGACAAGTCCGTTGCTTCATTGAGTTGCTTCAGTGCCTTACAGCACGATGTAAGCATAAATAACAAATACATGATATGCTTGAATGATAAGAAAAGCAAAGCATTTAATAGAATATTCAGGGCGCTATTCTATGCATAAACGAATCTCTGGCATTTATACTCTATGAAAATCTACTCGATATAGGCATATTCTATTGGTTTTCGACATAAGATACCCTACTAAGAATTGAAGTGGTCTTACTGAATAGTGAACACTCATTTCCAAAGGGATATTGCAACTTTTTTGACCAGAAAAAACGCCATCTTATGTCGTGCCCGTAAATTATTTTACTGTACATTTGGATGGTTGAGCTTGAACAAAAGTTCGACACTATGCATAAACTTGGAAAGAGCTTGATAAACTTGATGAAATACATATATTTTATGGTCGTTGCAATACCCCTATGCTCATTTCTCTATCATTTTCAACAAAAAAGTGTGGCAAATTTCATCTCAGATTTAATTCACTGATATAGATGAGAAAAAAAACTCAATTTTCAGCAAACAGGAAAAATGTAAAAGGCCAGACAGGTCTTCATAAGGCTGCTGAGTATGGTAATTTTGAATATATTTTTTTTTCACTAAATCGGAAATTGATTGAATCTGTGTATTTCGTTGATTTGTTTCAGGTAATTTGGAGAACATTGTAAAGTTCATCAATAAAGGAGCCAAAATTGATTCGACAGACAAAGAAAAGCGAAAACCGCTTCATTTGGCTGCTGCAAATGGTAATGTTGAATATTTTCATTAAATAAGACGTTGGTTTGATCTTTTTGTGTTCATTAATTGGTGTTATTTTTCAGGTCACAAGGATGTCGCTGAAAAGCTTATCACGAAAGGTGCCAATGTTGATTTCGAAGACCGCTTCAAACAAACACCTCTTTATTATGCCGCTGAGAATGGTAATTTTGAATATTCTCACTGAATAAGTGGTTGGTTTGATTTTTTTCATTGATCTGGTCAATTTAATAGGTCACATGGAAGTCGCTGAAAAGCTCATCATGAAAGGAGCTAAGATTAATCATACAGACTCTTTTAGGCGGACACCTCTTCATTATGCTGCTGCGAATGGTAATTCTAAATATTTATTTTCGTTAAATGAGATATTGATTCAAAGGGGCATTCAAGCTTTTGACTAAAGGAAACATCTAATGATGGCATTATAACTAATTTTACTGTACATTTAAATAGTAGAGCTTGAACAAAAGTTCAGCACTATGCATAAACTTGGAAAGAGCTTGATAAACTTGATAAAATACATCAAACTTTTAGGTCGTTGCTAGTGCCCTATGTATTGATTTAATCGATTTCACTGATCTGTATTATATTTAAGGTCAGGCGGATGTCGTTGAAAAACTTATCATAAAAGGAGCCAAAGTTGATGCCACAGACGATCTTAAGCAGACACCTCTCTATTTAGCAGCTGCAAACGGTAGTGTTTAATATTTATTTTCGATGAATAAGAAATTGATTTGATTAATTCCGTTAATTTGTGTTATTTTTTAGGTAAGGCGGATGTCGTTGAAAAGCTCATCGCAAAAGGTGCAGAAGTTGATGCAACAAATGATTTTGGGCGGACACCTCTTCATTTAGCCGCAATGAAAGGTAATGTTATTTTCACTGAATAGGAAATTGTTTTGATATTTTTTCATCGATCGACCTTATTTTTTCAGGTCACAAAGATGTCGTTGAAAAACTGCTCAAGGCAGGAGCCAATCCCAATAATATAGACAAATATGGGATGACACCCTTTCAAACAGCTTTTAAGAATAGTATTGTTTCACCAACTAAGATGCAGAACGTTGATCCTTTTCATTAATTTGTGTTATTTTTCAGGTCACGTGGATGTCATTGAAACGTTCATCAGTAATGGAGTTGATGTTAATTTTGAAGACCAAAATAAACAGACACTTCTTCATTTAGCTGCTGAGCAAGGTAATTTTGAATATTAATTTTCGATAAATATGAAAAATGCATTCAATCAATTCATCGTGCGACACATGTTTCCGTCCATGAGGATTTCCGGTTCACGGCTTTAGAGGACCACAAAACAAACATTTCTGCATCATTAGTTTGTCCGGGTCACGTCGTCCGTATGCGAACGGTGCCGTGTGACTGCTTCTTCTTCTTAACTAACACATCTATACATGTAAGTCGCCATATTGGTTATAATGTTCACAAATGGCACTCAATACACTGTAGACATTTTCAATATGACCGCGCCCATTGTGTACGACAGTGTGAAGAAGAAGAAGCAGTATTATAAGAAACTGTGTATGGGTTTACATAGGGATGGGTCACGTCAAGAATTTTTTTTAATCGACTTCGGTAGGTTCTCCTGGAATCTGTGAAATCAGCGATAGGTCGAAAATTTTCAAATGTGATCCGATTTTGCTGAAAATTGGTATGCACAGTAAGTGAGCCGATAGAAGAACATTGACATTCAAACTGATCCGAACTGGTCCAAATCGTATTTTGAGGTTTTGGACCAGTTTTTTGGATCAGTTTGAATGCCAAAATTCTTCTATTGGCTTGCTTACTATGTGTACCAAATTTCATCGAAATCGGAAAAAATTTGAAGATTTTTGCTCAGTTCAAAGCCTCAATTTTCGGCAAAATCAGATCACATTTGAAAATTTTCGACCTATTGCTGATTTCACAGATTCCAGGAGAACCTACCTAAGTCGATGAAAAAAAAAATTCTTGACGTGACCCGGACAAACTAATGATGTAGAAATGTTTGTTTTGTGGTCCTCTAAAGCCGTCAACCGGAAATCCTCATGGGCGAAAAAAAAAGTTGAAATTTGTTGCACGGTGATTTCTTTGATATGTGCTGTTTTGTAGGTAAGAAAGATATCGCTGAAAAGCTGATTAAGTGGGGAGCCAAAATTGATGCTACAGACAAAGAAAAGCGGACACCTCTTCATTTAGCTGCTTTGAATGGTAATGTTTATGATATTTATGTTCACTTAATCGTTCCCATCATGGATGAGATTGAGAGTGGTGTATGTTTCACAGACTTTGTTTTGGAAAGAGTAGAGTATGTGTTCATGCGGTGAACCAATCTTGAACTATTTCATTTACTTCAACAGATATACGGTAATTTTCTCTTGCAAAATTGTACAGTTTGAAAAAACCGACGATTTTTGCGAAGAACACCGATTCAATAATTCTTGTCATTCAAACGAAACTGCCAAAAACCACGATTGGAACATACTTTGCTTTATCGAAATATAAGTCGTCAAAAAGCATACAACACTCTCAATCTCACCCAAAGAAATAAGAAATTGGTTTGATCTTTTTCATTAATCTGTGTTATTTTTCAGGTCATACGTATGTCGCTGAAACGCTAATCAGCAATGGAGCCGATGTTAATTTTGAGGACAACAATAAACAGACGCCATTTTATTTAGCCGCTGAGAATGGTAATGTTAAATATTTATGCACACTAAATAAGAAACTCATTTGCTTGTGAGAGCTCCCATACTATACCGCACCACAGCAAACATGGGTTCCTCCAAAAATAATTGGTTTGATCTTGTTCATTGATCTGTGTTATTTTTCAGGTCGATTGGATGTCGTTGAAAAGCTCATTAGCAGTGGATCCAAAATTGATCATACAGACAGACTTAAACAGACACCTCTTCATTATGCTGCTAAGTATGGTAATGTTTAATATACGTTTTCACTGAATAAGAAATTGATTTGACCTTTAAATCTGTCTTGTTTTTCAGGACTCAAAAAAATCGTTGAAACGCTCATCACGAAAGGAGCCGATGTGAATTTCGGAGACCACATTCAGAGGACACCTATTTTTGGTGCTGCTTGGAATGGTAATATTGAATGGTTATTTCCAATAAATAAACTTTTTTGTATCAATTACTTTGTGTTGTTTTTCAGGTCACATGGATATTGCTGAAAAGCTCATCAGCAATGGGGCCAACGCTGATTCCGCAGACGATCGTATGCAGACACCTCTTCATATAGCTGCTATGAGGGGTAATTTGGAGTATTTTTTGTCGATAAATAAGACATTTATTTGATCTTTTTTCCATTGATTTTTCAGGTTGTTTGGGATTCGTCCGATTTCTCATCGACAAAGGAGCCTCTATCACATCTCAAGATAAATTTGGGAAGACTCCTCTTTATCTAGCTGCTGAGAACGGTATTGGATATTAATGTTCCATTACAAATCGATTTAAACTTTTCAATTGATCGATACTATTTTTCAGATAGGTATGATGTTGCTAAAGAGCTCATCAAGAGAGGTTCCGATGTAAATGCAGTAAACAAACATGAAGAGACACCCCTTCATGCAGCTGCATTGAATGGTATTTGGTTGAATATTGATTTTCACTAAATAAGAAATTGATTGAAATCAATAGTCTTTTTCATTGATCGATATTGTTCTTCAGGCAACTTAAGGCTCGTTAAACTTTTTGTCGATAATGGAGCCAGTACTACTGCTAGAGATGACCAAGAGAGAACACCGTATAGTGTAGCGTGTGAATATAGTAATGTCGAACATTTTTATTTAAAACAAATGAATGGGCAAGCGGAATAATGAAACGTAATTCTGTTTTTAAATGAAGTGCCTCTGAGAAAAATTTTCAGTAAAAAAGCCCCACAAAAATATTGTCTGAATAAGATTTTCATACAAATTTTTATCAGACAATATTTTTGTGGGGCTTTTTTACTGAAAAATTTTCTCAGAGGCACTTCATTTGAAAACAGAATTACGTTTCATTATTCCGCTTGCCCATTCAAATGTGATTTAAACTATATCACTGGATGATATTCTATTCCAGATAAGAAGAAAGTTGCTGACTATCTTTACTATTAAAGACGCTGAATTTGCTGAATAATCACATGGTTTTCTTTGAGTTCCATTTACGATTGTCATGTAGAATATTAATTTCATTACATTTTTTTTTGTCAAAACTTAACCATAACAATATTGCTGCTTTGTTGGACTATCCATTTTGACATTGTGTTAAAAACGCATTCCGAGTTATTTGTCTTTAAAATTGCTTACGATATAGATATTGGGTCAAACAAATTGTCATGCATTTGTACAACCCTAACAAATATCCGTTTTGAATTTAAACGCGATATGTGTGAGTGAAACGCCGTAACAAACCATCGACGTTGTTAGTTTTTATGCTTGAATAAAATGAAAATTGCACACTCCGATAAATCATTGCCATTTCAAATTAAAAGTTTGTTGAAGTTGTGCCAATCCAGGAAAAGAATACTTTACCCTAAACCTAAGCCGCAAGCGATTTGCATGAAAATGTCAATCACTTTTTAAACTACATTAAACGTAGTGAATCATAGAAATTAATCTATATTTTTTTTATCAGATATGAAGTGACTCCGGTTCACCTTCAAGGGAAACAATTGTAATAAATAAAAAGAATCCATTTTTGAACTGATATTTTCCTCACTTTTTGTTCTGTATCAACTTTCATACATAAATACATATATATAATGTATACGAATGCATAATTGCATACTCATGAATGTATTGTGTAGAAAAGAAAATTTCTTTTTCTCTAATTTACTCTTCTCTCTTCCGTACCACGTGCTACACAATTATCTAAAAACTGGAATGTGTATATATCTGTGCGTCAGCTGAAGTGGTAGTTATCCTCGAAAACTTTGGAATTTATATTTACTTGGAATAGAGATACGACATTCTCTTTTAAAAACGAATGTTGAATAATAATTATGTGAATAATCATGATTCAAGAATTTCGAATAGCTCATTGCCTTTTTATTGCCGATGGTTCCTCTCACACCTCTTTTATACAGATTTATTCATATAAAGTGGTAAATGTGGCTTCCTCGAAGACTCTAAGAAGATTCATGTAAGTATCGCAAATATTCGATTTAAAAATCGACTAAACTGAAAATGCATGAAATTATGACACGTACAGCAAAACAAAATTGCTTACGACTGAATTCGAAAACAAATTATTTGAAAACATGTTTTTAATTCGATCTCCTTGCGTCAATTCTCGCGTTTTGTTAATTTTTCCAATTTTTGGTGGTTGGAATACACAGGTGCAGGTGTTGTGATATATAAATGAACTCATTATTCGCCTGGAATTTTACATAACTGGGAACCACAAGCTCCAATGAGGAACAAATTGTTTAAAAATAATTTGTTTTTGAAATCAGCCAGAAAAATTGGTTAATCATGTGGTTTGCATGCGCAATTCCCCTTGCGTTAATACGAGTTCATTCACATATCCAAACATTCGCACCTGTCGAAATAACAAAACGCGAGAAACGACGCAAGAAGCTCGAATTAAAAACATGTTTCCAAATAATTTGTTTTCGAATTCAGTCGTAAGGAATTTGGTTTTGCTGCACGTGTCATAACGATGACAAGTCTACAAAACCTAATTTTTGAGTATAAATGAGGCATCAAAATCGTGGAAATTTAGTTATTGTTCAAGTGATTCGACTATAAATATGGCCAAGCAATTGATGGGTGAGTCTCTTCTTAGCTCTTTTTTCCTTCATTTTTTTCCTAATTTTAATTTTCCACAATACTTGAGATTTCAGTCACTCATTGTCGTTTAATCAATATTTTCTCTCCGTTTAGTTTGTTTGGTTCTGGTTGCGGTTTTGGGAGACCAATTCATGGTAACTTACAATTTTTTCTGTATCTTTTTTGCATGGGGTCGACAAGAATTAGCAATAACAATATTGAATTTGTGAAGAATAGTTTTTAAATCCATATCCAACAATGGCAATTTACTTGTTATAGTCTAAGCGTTGATTTCTCTTTTCTTCTTGAAAATAGTTTTCTTAGGGAAAAGCAATTTTCTTCATTCAAATTTCGTTCAAATTTCTATGTATTCAATTCACTAATTCGTTGGATCGATTTTTAAAATCGTACATAATCAAAAACGGTTAGTGTGCGTTCGATTTGACACTATTGGCATTTATCTCTCAAATGGTTTGCACGAACCTCATATAATTCGAATCACTTTGTATTCCATTGCACACTTATCAAAGTCAAACGGAAAAAAGTATGTATGAGTAAGTGACGTGTGTAAGAATGCACAATTTGAACATACGAACGAAGCGTTCGAACGTGTTCGACGGCCAATACTAAACGAGCTGCTGTGCTATGTACGGTTTTGTTTTGTTCCGACATTTAATTTTTGCAAATAGTTTTTTTTGGATGGAAAATCCAATTAATTTTCCATTTCAATTTTGTTATTCCAAACTAATAATCTTTATTTGTTTCTAATCTCCAACATGAAGCAAAGTGAAGGTGCACCAGGTAAGATTGAAGCTCCATTTCTTTTTAAAGTTTCATTCTCACCATTCCATACAAATAATGCACCATTTGATGTTTGAAGTCATTTTCCATATAATCTAACAAAGTATCCAGGCCAAATTAACCAGAACTCAATTCAATTCATGAGAAATTCGTTGTAAATATTAAAAAAAAATGTTTGACATTACATGTTCTTAGGATTCAATTCATTGAATCCAGAACTATACGGTCATCATGTAATACAGAGATGACTTTAGCGCACCCAAGTATTTGTGTTTTTTTTGTTTTTACCTGGGTTGGTAAATTTTCGTATTTCGGGCGACGTGTAAGTAATTTACGTAAGAAACATGTATCTTACGTTTATTACGTAAGAAACCTCAACGCATGTAATAAACGCCCCAAAAAGTGCAGGGTTATAGACAAAAACCGACTGTTTGAGTACTGAAAGAATGAACTTAAAGTGAACAAGAAACTCTGACCGGCCGGTCGGAATGCTTTTAGTTAACTGATTGGTTTTATTGAACGTAATGAAAAAGGCGGCAGAGAAATGTCACTTCACGGTGTTGTGCGATGCGATGTGACAATCTCAGGGTTGTATAATATTTGAACGTTTATGAAGTGTTCGTTCCCGAACACCGACTATTCTCGTTTGTTTTAAGCATTCAAAATATACAGAGTACATACATGCTCGTTCTACAGCGTTAGCTGATAAATAATTAATAAATATTGATAAATAAAAATATGCAAAAGTTTCAAGCCACCAGCTATTTTTGTCATAAAAAGTGTGTTTTTTCGCAGTGTTATCAAGTATACATGTGACCAAATGAATTTTTGCATGCTTTTATGTGTGATTTAAATAATGTTATAATAAATTTTTAATAAAAAATTTCAACTATTTTTGGAAATATAAGACGTTGAATTGAATTCGTGCTGAAAGTCGCATTTTTATATGGAAATGCAGAATTACCGAATCACTATGCAAATATTTCCATAAATAGTTGATAGAAGACGATTGA